AAAAAAAAAAAAAACACAAAGTTTGGGCCAAGCATTCCCGGAATGCGCTTCCTGCCAGCGCGGGGCGGGGGGCGGGGCGCGGGCGGGGGGCGGCGCGGCGGGAGCGGGGCGCGCACTCGGCCGGCCGGGTCCCAGCATGGCCGAGCCGCTGCTCAGGAAAACCTTCTCCCGCCTGCGGGGTCGGGAGAAACTGCCCCGAAAAAAGTCCGACGCCAAAGAGCGCGGTGAGTGAGGGCTGCGGGGAGGAGGCGCGCGGAGCCCCGCCCGGCCTGGGGTCCCGGGTCCCCCCGGTTGGGACGGCAGGAGGACGGGGGGAGCCGCGGCGGAGCCCCCTGCAGGCCGAGACTCCCGATCCCGGGTGGGCCGGGGTCCCGCGGGGAGGGGGCGCGGACCGTTATGTGCGGCTGGCCAGGGATGCCAGCGCCGCGGGATCCCGGGGAGGCCGGGGAGGGAGCCTCGCCCCGACAGGAAATGGGGCGGCGACGGAGCGGAGCGGCCAGAGGGTGGTGGGGATGGGGGTGCTGCGAGGCCGGGACACCGGGGCCCAGTCGAGCCGGACCCGGCTCCCACAGCCCTGGAGGCGCTGATGGGAGGTCGGGGCGTCCTCCAGCACGGGACAGAGGTGGCGCGTGGACCATCGTCGCCGCCCCCACCCCGTCCTGTCGGCTCACCAGGGCTGCAGCTGGCAGTGCCAGGAAACCGTCCCCTTTACACTGATGGGGAAACTGAGGCATGTGACAGTGGGTAATTTGCCCAGGGCCAGTGAAATGACCTAAACAACTCTTTGGAGTATACTACTAGTTTAATAAGGACCCTCTCAGCCTGGTCACCAAAGGTAACCCGAGCTGGTGTCAACCTCAGAGAAAGGGAAGCTGCTTGGGACAGTGGGGGCTCAGGAAGGAGCCAATTAAAAAAGGGAGCCCAGACCACTCCATGAACCTAACCCCTTCTCCCAAGCCCTTCCCAAAGATTCCCAAGGTTCCTAGGGCCAGAGAAGGGACAGGGATGCCCACACATAAACACACACAGGAAATAGCCTGTGATGTCAGAGAGTGGAGGAGCAAGAGGGCGGGGGCACAAGGCTTGTGGACTCTAGGGGTCTGGCTTGGTCTGAGGGACAAGGTCTATCCTAGGATTAGGGCAGAGTTTGGAAGATGAGGGAGTTGCTGCAGTATGGACATTATATTCCTTGTCACATTCATTGTCATGCCTGTTCCTGTCTTCAGAGCAGCACGAACCATGGCTGGAGGCCATGAGCTCGGCAAGACATGGAATCTAAAAGTGCTTCCCTCGCTGAGTTCCCGGAAGCCTCCCTGGAGGCGGCATTGCATCTTCTCCTTCCATAGGACACTGAGGCTCACAGAAGGAAAGTGACTGGCCAGGGCCACCCAGTAAGAAGTGCAGGCAGAATGGAGACAGAAACAAAGGGCCTAAGGGCCCAAGGACATATGACCTGGGCCTCGAGGCTAGAGTAACACAGTTCCCCATGGAATCTCGGGGCTGAGCAGAGCGGGCTCTGAGCTGGAGACTGAGGACATCACTAGCCTGGGCTTGCAAACTGCAAACAAACCAGAAGTCTCTGAGGAGAGTGACTGAGGCCATAGGACTGGACCCGGCTCCTACCTGTCAGTCAGTGGCAGAGTTGGGGAGCAGAGAAGAGGCCCTGGCTAGGGCCGCTCTAGGAGGTGGGGGAGAGGGGATCAAGGTCTCACTCCCTTTGCTCTCCACAGGCCGCCCTGCTCAGCGCCCAGAGCCCAGCCCTCCAGAGCCAGAGCCCCAGGCCATTGAAGGGCCCAAGGCAGGAGCAGAGGGGCCTCCCAGCGCTGAGGCATCTCAGAGCCCAGCCCGGGGGGCCTACCTGCAAAGCCTGGAGCCCAGCAGCCGAAGATGGGTGCTGGGTGGAGCCAAGCCACCGGAGGAGGCTGCTTTGGGGCCCAGAACACCTAGTGGTGGGGAGCCTGCTGGTGAGATCTGGTACAACCCTATCCCTGAGGATGACCCCAGACCCCCAGCATCTGAGACCCTGGGGCCACAACCAAGCGTGGCTGAGCCAGAGGGCGCCACCCCCCAAGGTAGGCACAAGCTTCACACTCACCTTCCCACCCCAAGTGACCAGGAGCCTAACAGGTGACCACAGCCTCGCTCCCAGCCCCCCCGCCCCCGGGGAGCACAGCTTCACATCCCCAGTCCCCCAGGTGACCACAGCCTCACTCCCAGCCCCCCTGCAGGTGACCACAGCCTCACCCCCAGACTCCCTGGTGGTCATAAGTCTCACACTCCAGACTCTGAGGTGACCAAAGCCTCACACTCCCAGCCCTCCAGGTGACCACAGCACCCCCAGTTATCCCTAAGCCTCACACCACAGACCTCATACCCCTGGTCTGACCCAGGTTCTGGACTCTGATGTCCGCTTTCTCCGCAGGCGCAGCCCCTGCCAGTCCCCCAACCAAAGCCTCCCGCACCAAGTCCCCTGGCCCTGCCCGGCGCCTCTCTATGAAGATGAAGAAGTTGCCAGAGCTGAGGCGTCGCCTGAGCCTGAGAGGCACTCGGGCAGGCCGGGAACGGGAACGGGAGAGAGCAGCCCCAGAGGGCTCTGTCATCAGCCGCTATCACCTGGACAGCAGTGTGGGGACCCCTGGGCGGGCAGCAGTGACTGGGGGCACTCGGAGCCCTCGGGCTGGGTACCTCAGTGATGGTGACTCACCTGAGCGTCCAGTGGGGCCCCCATCACCCACTGCCTTCCGACCCTATGAGGTGGGCCCAGCAGCACGGGCGCCCCCCGCTGCACTCTGGGGCCGCCTCAGCCTGCACCTCTATGGGCTTGGGGGACTGCGGCCAGCCCCAGGGGCCACCCCGAGAGACCTCTGCTGCCTGCTGCAAGTGGATGGGGTGGCCCGGGCCCGCACAGGGCCTCTGCGAGGAGGGCCAGACTTCCTGAGGCTGGACCACACCTTCCACCTGGAGCTGGAGGCCGCCCGGCTACTGAGGGCCCTGGTGCTTGCATGGGACCCTGGTGTGAGGCGGCACCGGGCCTGTGCCCAGGGCACTGTGCTGCTGCCCACAGTCTTCCGAGGTAGGACATGGGACTTTGGGGGCGGAGGGGCAGGGCACAGGACCCAGATCAGGGCAACCCTACTCCCCAACAGTACCTGGGGGGCTGGGCTCCAGGTAAGGGGTATGACCTGGACTGGGGAGTGGGAAGAGGACATAGGAACCATTGGAGCAGACCCGGCTCAGATCCCCTTGTGTCCTCAGGGTGCCAGGCCCAGCAACTGGCCGTTCGTCTGGAGCCCCAGGGGCTGCTGTATGCCAAGCTGACCCTGTCAGAGCAGCAGGAAGCACCCACCAAAGTGGAGCCCCGGGTCTTTGGACTGCCACTGCCACTGCTAGTGGAGCGGGAGCAGCCCCCTGGCCAGGTGCCTCTCATCATCCAGAAGTGTGTTGGGCAGATCGAGCACCGAGGGCTGCGGGTGAGCCCCAGACCTTAGACCCACTCCCCAGGACCCTTCCACCAGCCTGAACTCTAAACCCCTCCTAGACAGAACAAGAGACCGACCCCTCCCCCCAGACCATAGCACCCAGACCTGAATACATGGGTCACTAACAGTTTTAATAACAGGAACCCAGCCCTCCTGGAGCTCAGAATGTACAGGGAGTAAGGCCCGAAGAGTAATAGCTCACAAATATCAAACTGCAGCTAGGAGGAAAGTTAAGGGGAAAGCTGGGCACCTGTGGTCCCAGCTACTTGGGAGGCAGAGGATGGAAGTCCAAGGCCAGCCTGGGCAAAGTTAGCTCAAGAACCCACCTGAAAATAAACTAAAACCAAAAGAACTGGGTTTGTGGCTCAGTGGTAGAGTGCTGCCCAGCAAGTGTGAGGCCCTGAGTCCAATTCGCAGTACCGGGGGGAAGGGGCGGGGGGCGGGGAGGACACCTAAGGACTGTGAAAACTTAAAGCAGGCCCTGACTTGGTTGGGGTAGTCCCGGGAAGGCTTCCTCGAGGAGGATGTGAGAGAGAACTGGAACAGTCAGGAGGAACCTAACACAAGTGATCCAAGCAGAGGTTTAGGAGTCCTGGTTGTTGGGGGAGCCAGGGAGTGACTCTGGGGACAGATGTCACAGAGCAAGTAAGCAACCAGTGAGGATACATACACCCCTACCCTCCAATCCCACAGTGTCCACTGCTACCATGGCCCCCACCCCACTGAGCCCTGATAGTCTGTGGCCCCAGGAGGACATCCTCTCTCTGTGTCCCCACCCCAGGTGGTGGGGCTGTACCGTCTGTGTGGCTCTGCCGCAGTGAAGAAAGAGCTTCGCGATGCCTTTGAGCGGGATAGTGCAGCCGTCTGCCTCTCCGAGGACCTTTACCCCGATATCAATGTCATCACGGGTGAGCATAGTCCTCTCTCCCCTGCCTGCTCATCCCCCCTTTGTTTTTTTCTTTTTTAAAGTTCATTTATTCATATGTGCATACATTGTTTGGGCCACTTCTCCCCCTTGATGCTCATCCCCTTTCCCCCTCACCTCAAGGCTGGCCTAGTGGCCTGGCCAGGACCTCACCCACCCCTCATGCCTTGCCTTGTTTTCACTCTCCAGTGTCCCCTCTGGCCTCAGAAGCCAGGGGCACTCTGACCAGGGGGGCTCTCTGTCCACAGGCATCCTCAAGGATTACCTTCGAGAGCTTCCCACTCCACTCATCACCCAGCCCCTCTACCAGGTGGTGCTGGAGGCCATGGCCCAAGGGCCCCCAAGCAGAGCTCCCCCAGGTCCTGATGGCACCCGAGGGCTCCTCGGCTGCCTACCAGATGTGGAAAGGGTGAGTTGGCCCTGGTGGGAGTGATAGAACATGGAATGGGCCATTCCCAAGGTGCTTCACCTACATCTGAGCCTGAAATAGCTTACAGGATCATCATCACATCCCTAAAAGTAGGTACTATTAGTGCCTCAATTCATAGATTTGGAAACCAAGACCTAGAGCAGTTGAGTGACTTGCTCAAGGTCACACAGCTCCAGAACAGGCAGACTCTCAACACAGGTCCGTCAGGCTACCACAAGGGAATTTCCTGGCTTTGAGATCTTGGACAAGACCATTTATTCTCTGTGCCTCGATACTTTAATCTGTGAAATGGAATTCACGCTAACTTTGCTGGGTTAGAGTCCAACCCCGGCCATTGCAAAGCTAATCTGCCTTGGCCTCCAGCAAAATGGGATCATGATACAAATACCTAATCTACTGGTTAACTGTTTTATCCTGACCACCTTCCAGCTATGAGAACTTGAACCTCAGTTTTCCCATTCTGAGCCACCTTAGTGTCCCGCAGGTGCATCGGGAGCCCAACTTTACTCGCCTCATGCCCACCCTCACAATCCTCTCCGCAGGCTACGCTGACCCTTCTCCTGGACCACCTGCGCCTGGTCTCCTCCTTCCATGCCCACAACCGCATGACCCCGCAGAACCTGGCCGTGTGCTTTGGACCCGTACTGCTGCCCGCACGCCAGGCCCCCGCCCGGTCCCGCATCCGTGGCTCTGGCCCAAGTGTCACCAGCGCAGTGGACTTCAAGCGCCACATCGAAGTGCTGCATTACCTGCTGCAGTCTTGGCCAGGTGAGCCCGCCCACGCCTTGCGCTGCCAATCCAGGCAGGCTGCCATGAAAGGGCCTTCCCCGGACGGCCAATCAGAACCTGGGACTTACGGAAGGCCACGCCTCCTCAACTGGCAGAGGCTCCCCTCCCCAACCAGCTCTGGCCCCGCCAATGAAATCCTATCCCCGTTCAAGGCCTTACCTCTCCAAAAGCCAATCAGAGGCCTTGTTGCCGCCGCTGTGCATGACATCACATGACAATCACTGTGCATGACAATCACTCCCACTGCTCCCCTCAGATCCTCGCCGACCCCCAGAGACTCCTGACGTCGCACCTTACTTGCGGCCGAAACGACAGCCGTCGCTGCGCTTGCCGCTAGCGGGCTCCGAAGTGGTGACTCGACCCCGGGGACGCGAAGGCCCGGAGAGCCCCCCCAGTAACCGCTATGCCGGCGACTGGAGTGTTTGTGGGCGGGACTTCCTACCATGTGGGCGGGACTTTCTGACCGGGCCTGACTACGACCACGTGACTGGCAGCGACAGCGAAGAGGACGACGACGAGACTGGCGAGCAAAGGGGTACTGCAGACTTCGAGGATGAATTTGACGCGCCCTTCAACCCGCACCTGAATCTCAAAGACTTTGACGCCCTCATCTTGGACCTGGAGAGAGAGCTTTCCAAGCAGATCAATGTGTGCCTCTAGAGCCCGCAGAGCGGGGCAGGCAGGACCCTGGTTACTAAGGACCAGGTTCCGGTTGCTAAGGCAGTGCCCTAATGACCTAGAAGGACCCCAGACTTGTTGCTCAGCGTGACCTCCTGGTTGCTAGGGAGTTGCCAAGGGACCAGTCTCCTGTGCTGACAATCATTCCTAGTTCTAGTGCCTAGTATTTGGACACTAGTTACAAAGACCAGGCACTGGGGATTTTAGGGATTAGCTGTTGTGGCCATCTTTCCTGAGCACCAGGGCTTCTCTTGCTGCTGAAAGGCAGCTCTCCTGCTTGCTAGGCTGGCCTCTCTTGCCTCCCCTTTGCAGGGGAAACCCCAGATACTGTGAGCATCACCCTGGGGTGAGACACCCCTACTCAGTCCTCTTGCTGCTGCCTACCAAATCAGTATTAGCTTTGAGCACTGCACTCTGTTTCTCCCTCCCTTGGAGGACCTAAGGACTATCATGAGGTGCTGTTTGAGGGGGCAGCCCCTATCCTGGGCTCCAGCTGGATAGGGGTAGCCTGGGGCTCATAGAAAAACAACTGGTTTCCCCACCCTCTTTTCCAGGGAAGAACCCATGATCTGCCTGCCTCCAACCAGCAAATGGAGATAACAGAGTCTGACCCTCCCCCTTCCCACCCCTGAAAAAATTGAGCACTTAACCCTCCCTTTTGGAGGGGCCCCACCTGAAGTGTCAGGCTGGGGCACTTTGGTACGGAACATATTTATTGCCTCCGTGCATGTGTGTGTCTGTATGTAAGGACTTGTGTGTGTGGACCTGGAGTGGCCGTGTGAGACTCCTTCATGGACCACAGAATAGGGAAGAATTCGCTGTGCCCAGGCACCCTGAAATGCCCAGTAATCCATCGGGAGAGTCAGGTGCCTTTCCTGTCTCCTCCCTTCCCCTCACCTCCATCTCTGTGAATAATAAATCAATATGCACAAGGTCTCTGTGTCCTTGGGCCCACATGGGCAAAGGTGGTTTATTCAGACTAAGCTGGGAAGAAAGGGCACGGTTGTACAGCTAGACACAAAGGCCGAAAGCTCTGCAGGGCTGCCAGGTGCCCCTCTAAGCTTTGATCCCTCTTCCCCCCGCCCCCCAGAGAGGGCTTCAAAGTCACTGGACCTCATGGGATAGGACCAGAGCAGGCAAGGATGAGACTCCAAATCATCTGGGCACAATTCAGGTGCAGGGAGCCAAGCACACTGGCCATGAGACTATACAGAAATGGCACCTTCACGGAAGTCTGTCCTCCCAATTAGGATGTTGACCACGACCGGGTGGCCATCTCGGCACTGCTGCTGGCTGTCCTGCAGCACTTTGACTATCTGATCTTCATTCTCCCTTGACAGCAGCAAGCCCCGGGCTCCCAGACCTATGGCTGCTTTGTGATAATCTAAAAGAAGAGATTGGGTCAGATAGTGACAAAGACCCAGCCCACCACAGAGCCAACCCAAGAGAACAGAAGCCCAGCTGGGCCTGAAACAGGATCCTGTGCTCTCCCACACTATGCCAAGAGCCCTCACCAGTGTAGGCTAGGTCACAGGCCACGTTGCTGCCCAGTCTGGGCACCTGCTCCCGAGAAATCTGGGTCCAGCCTGCATCATTCCCTATCAAGGCAATCACTGGGATCTGCAGCAAAAAGATGAGGTCAGGCCACACCCTTCCGCCAGAAGGTTTGGCCAGCCAGAGGACAAATCAATAGAGGAGGCTCCCCGCCCATCCTCAGCCTTCCCACCCCATGACATCTCCCAGAACCCAGAATTGTAAGCTTCCCTCAGGACAGCCCAGTCACCTTGTGTCTGACGAATGTGTCAAACTCGATGAGGCTATAGCCAAATGCTCCATCCCCAAACAGGCACCAGACCTGGTAAGGGGGACCCAGGGCGGTTAGGGTGGTTCACAGCCCAGAAAGCAGCAGCAAGTCTTCCCACATCCAGTGCCTCACCTCAGCATCCGGCTGACACAGCTTGGCCCCAAGCGCAAACCCTGCACCAACTCCTAGAGTCCCAAAGGCCCCTAGAAGGATAAAAAGCAAGGAGTTGACAAGGGTCCAGACAGTGCAAGCTGCCCCAGGTGTAGGCCTTTCCTTACCAGGATCGAGCCAGCGCAGGGGACCACGGGGCTGTACCAGGTAGGCAGCAGTGGCCACAAAATCCCCACCATCAACCACAAGAAACGAGTTGTCAGGCAGAGTTTCCTCCACCAGCTGCAAAACCCGCACCGGGTTCAAATGTTGGGCTACAGGCATCGCTGCCTTCTCCCTGCAACAGGGACAAAAGAAGTCAACAGGACAGCAATGCCTGCTGGGAATGCCCCCTCCCATGTCCACTCCACACAGGCCCACCGATAGGTCTGCTCCTTCTGCCGGTCGGCCTCCCGCAGCTCCTCTGCCCAGTCTGGGGCCCACGTATGGCCCTGAAGGCCTTCCACCAGCTTCAGCATGAAGAAGCCCACATCTCCTAAAGAAGGAAGAAGGCACAGCTGCAGGGCAGTGGCTTCCTCCTGCCCTCCCAGTACTAGAGGATGGAAAACAGGAGGAAGCCAAGAGCAGTAACCAAGCAGGAAGGGTAGAAGCAAGCCATGGGCACTCCTAGGGCAAAGCAGGTGAAACACACCCCAGACCTGTGAGAACCAGGTGAGGCCACCCAGACAAGATGGGCAAGGCCAGAGAAATGAGGTTTAGGGAGCACATTACAAACCCAAGCCGGCCTCACCACCTCCCTGCCTCTCACACCTCAGTTCACGAGGTCCTGACAATTCTGCCTCTAAAGCATAAATGAGAACAGCTCCACCAACCAAGCAGGTTCTCAACATAGACAGAAGGGGCTCATATTGAACAAATCACAATACCATGATGGGTTTTCACTATCCCCATTTAAGAAATGATTGAACGCAGGCTGGGAGAGATTGAATTCCTCACTTAATCTGTCCCCACTCCAGGCTATGGCTGTGTCCTTTCTGTCTTGGCTTTTTTTTTTTTTTGGTACTAGAAACTGAACCCAGGGCCATGTGTATCTTGTGTATACTAGGTAAGTGCTCTACCACTGAGCCACATTCCCAGTCCTTTTTTTAATTGTTATTTTTATTTTGAGATAAGAGTCTCACCAAGTTGGCCTGGCTGTCCTAGCCCTTTTTAACAGCTCCTCCTTTTGCCTCTGCCTGCACCTCTTCTAGCCCACCAGCTGCTGGGGTGGACCTTGCCAAACACATGCAACAGTGCCACTTCTTTGCTTAACCCAAGAGCACCCCATCACCTATGCTACAGGGGAGAGTAAATGTCCTTAAATGATAGGCAAAGAGGTCGAGTGCAGTGGCTCACGAATGTAATCCCAGCTACACCAGAGGCAAAGATCAGGAGTATTGCAGTCCAAGTCATCTGGGACTAAGGCAAAAAGTAAGACCCCTTTTCAATCAATAAGACAGGTTTAGTGGGATGTACCTACGATCCCAGCTACATGGGAAGTATAGGTAGGTCTAGGCTCACTGAAGCAAAAACATGAGACCCTACCTAAAAAATAAATAAAGCAGCTGGGCACAGTGGCTCATACCTATAATCCTAGCTACTTGAGAGACTGAGATCTGGAGGATCACGGTTCCAGGGCAGACCAGGAAAACAGTTTGCAAGACCCCATCTCTAATATTACCAGAGCAAAATGGACTAGAGGTGTGGTTCAGGGGATAAAGCGCCTGCTTTGCAAGTTTGAAGCCTGAGTTCAAACCCCAGTCTCACCAAAAAAAAAAAAAAATCTAAAGCAAAAAGAGCTGGGGCATGGCTCCAGTGGCAGAGAGCCTACCTAGTAAGCTCAAGTCGCTGAGTTCAAACTCCACTACTGCCAAAACAAAAAGCAGGGCACAGAAAGGGGACTGAAATCAGAGGGACAAGATGACAGAGAGGCTCAGGGGCTAAGGAGTGAGCTCTTTGGCCCAAGGACAAGAGGCAACTACCCAGGAGCATGATCACAGGCACATTTATTTCCAAGGCCCTCTGCCCCACCTCACCATTTGTCCCTACAGAAGCACCCATTAATCTGAGAGCCAAACGTCTTAAACTGCCTGGCTGTTCCCTGGGGCAGGGTGCAGGCCTCACCCAGCCAGGTGCAGCAGAGGCCAGGAGGAGAGGGGACCATGCGGTAGGAATATCAGAGGGCTTACCCTGCACAGCCTCCTGGGGCTTCCAGAAGACATCTGAGTTGAGTAACATTTCGTCCCGGTCGCGATTGACGATGATGATCTTACTTTTGCGGTTGAGGACACGGCCATAAGACAGGCGGAAGTCACACACGGCTCCTGAAGCAAGACACAGGGCATCAGTGGGTGGAGGGCCAGTGTTTGGAGCAACGCCTACTGTCTCACTTTTGATCCACGATGGTACACAGACTATACAATGTCCCTGTGCATCACCTCTCTCTGCACCTGTACCATCTGCAGTGACCTTGCAGCTCTGGGCTGGCCTTGTGAGCTGCAGAAGCAATGGCATGCCATTCCTGGACCAGGTTTTAAGAGGGGCTCAGTAGTAAGAATGTTTGCCTAGCATGCTTGAGGCCCTGGGTTCCAGCCTCAGCACAAAGGAAAGGGAAAGGAAAAAGGAGAAATGAAGGAAAGGAAAAGCAAGAGAACTGAAAGGAAGAGGAAGGAAAGAGAAGGAGAATGGAGGGAGGGAGGAAAGAGGGAGGTAGGGAAGAAGGGTAGGATACATTTCTCATCCTCCTCCAAGTGACCCGCCCCAGGCTAGCCTGCTGAAGGATGAGAAACAGGGGGCAATGGAGACATGATAGGGCCTCAGTTATCCCAGCTGAGACCATCCTAGACTAGCCACAGAGCCAGCCCACCAACCCTCAAATAGACGAGCGAGCTCCCCACTGGATCAGCCTGGCCAAACCCACAAAAATGACCACCAAACCTGCCAGTAGGTGTTGAGCGACAATAAATGCATTGTAAGCCATTGAGGGTGAGTCCTGTACCATATAATGACATTTTGAGCAATGTCATATTTGGCAATGTGGTCTCATGACTGTGGTTCATAAGATGACATCATCTAGTGACATCGTGGCCCCTTGATGTGTGTAAAGTACATTAGTGATGTCCATATGTCCACATGAGCACAAACTTGCCTGGTGATGCATTGCTCAATGTATACTGTTATAATATTGCTTATATTTGATCATGCTAAGGGGAGGTCACTAAGGGGACAGAGAGGGTAAAAAAAGGAACTCAAGAAGATGAACATGATTGATGTATTTTCTATACAAATAAATGTAGAACGTTTAAACCTGCTGAAATAGAGGGGATAAACCAATTGAGGTTATAATACATGTATACATAGGAATATCACAAGGAAACACCCCATGTAGATATCTTAAACAAACAAAATGGTCTTTTTTCATTAATAGAGAACAGGAAGGCAAAATAGGTCCTGTCTTGGGGTTGGTACCCATGGGAGGGGGGGAGGATATAAGGAAAGGTTGTAGAAAGACGAATATTGTGGAAATATTATATACACATGTATGTAAATGGAAAAAATGAGACATGTTGAAACTATTCCAGGAATTCGGAGGAGGGGGTAATAAAGGAGAATGATGAAGGAGGTGAACTGAACTATGATATATTGTTAAGAACTTCTGTAAATGTCACAGTGTACCCTCAATACAATAATATAATAAAATAAAATAAAATTCAAAAATGTACCCTGTTAAACTGTGCACAGCTATATATGGCAAGAGCTAATGGCTATGCATATTAAACGTCTGGTGAAATTCAAAGTTCTCTAGGTAAAAATGTGTAAAACGCAGCACGGGTCCACTAGGCATACATCCTTGAGGCCACCAGGTCAGAGCACACAAGTGCAGCCTCATGGCATTCACTGAAGTTCAGATTCAGGCTTGTTCAACAGCCTTAAAGGGGAAGGGGGAGGCAGAGGAAGGAAGGTGGATGATTATGATGGTGTGGCACAATGATGAGGGACGGGGTCCCTGGGGTGGGGTGGGACGAGAGGGGTGTCTAGAGGGAAGGAGAAAGGAGGCTGAGACCCACCTGCCAGGATGACAACATCTGCTTTCTTCAGGGCAGCGCCACGGTTCTGCCGGATGTGGAGGGGGTGGTTGCGGCCCAGCAGCCCCCGTGCCATCCCCCCCAGAAAGCAGGGGACTCCTAGGGCCTCCACAGCAGTCCTGGAGGTCCAGACAGAGCAGAGATCAGCTTGGCCAAGGCTTTCCCCCTCCCCACAGAGAACTAGAACACCAGGGACTGGGTGCATCAGGTGATGCCATCCTAAGGGCAGGGTTGAGGTTCTCACCGAAACTTGTCAGCGGGTGTCGGGGGCAGCAAGGCCTGGCTGCCCAGCACCATCAAGGGCCTCTTGGCCCGGCTCAGGATCTCTACACAGCGCTGAACCTGGGGTGAGAGGTAGGGCTCAAAGGGCCATTCCTGAGTCCCCAAGATTGAGGCCCCAACTCTGGCTCAGGAAGAGAGTTGGCAGAGCACTGCCAGGGTCCTGGGGGAGGGTCCTGGGCTGTACAAAAGAGGCAATTCACCTGCTGGGGGGATGCCCGGGGTATGTTCACAGGCAGAGGTCCCTCAGGCTGAGGCTCCCAAGCCCCAGCAAAGAGGTTGGTCAGGCAATTCTGTAAGTACCTGTGAGGAAGACAAGAAGGAACCAAGTTACCAGGATTAATTAGGGGATTTTGCCAGCAGAGGACAACAAGAAGTAAGTAAAGGAGCTGGTCACCCCAGAACACTAGCATCAGTGCCCGAATGGAGGGCCAAGGCTGTGGGTCAGGACCTCCACACATGAACTCAGGTCCCAGTTCTGCCACATCTAGCTGAGAGATATTGGGCTTCATCTTCCTCAGTGTCCTCCTCTGAAAAATGTAAAATACAGCCCCTCCATCCCAAGTGTCCATCAACTACCCACTTAGGTTACAAGTGCACTTTGCAGGCTGGGGGTACAGCTCGTGCTAGAGCTCTTGCCTAACATGCATGAGGCCCTGGGTTCCATCCCCAGCGCTACAAAACAAACAAAAAGAAAAAGGCACCTCACGAAACACTCAGCAACATGGATAAGTCCATGTCATCTGCTCTTACTTCATACAGTGCCGCTCTGTGTCTTTGTCACTGAGCTCCAGGACTCCAAATTTTTTAAGGCCCCATGTTGGGGCCCTGGAGACACAAAAAGAAATTCTGGCCAGGCCTTGCCCTCAAGGCACACTCAATCCAGCTAAAGGCAGACACATGGGTGTTGGCAGGAAGCAGTCAGAGCTCAAAGCCAGAAGCACGCTTTGTCTGTTAAGGAGTCAAGGTTGCAGAGGGCAGAACAGTGAGGAACCCAGTTTAAAGGGAAAGAAGAGAAGAGCCAGCCTTGCAAGGCACAGCGAGGGAGGGAATAAGGGGAGAAGTGTACAGGGTGACAGGAGGCTGGGGGCCAAGCATTAACAGAAAGACCACAGAACAAAGCACTTCTCACACACCAGAGCACAGGGAGGGACCTGAATGTTCTGTCACCCTATGCCTATCCTGGTATCTGGCACATAGCTTGGGCTCTCTAAATGTGTGGAAGAGGAGGGGCAAGGACAGGCAAAGGAAAGGGACAGAGGGAAAAGCAGAAAAGGAGAAAGAAGAGGAAAAAGAGGAGAAGGGAAGCAGGAAGAGAACAGATGGGAGGGGAAGATGAGGGCTGCTCTGAGCTCAGTCCTTACCTCCTCCCCTCTGCTCACCTACTTCCACAAAGGCCACACCTTGCTTCCCCAACCCACTAAGTTCCCTCCTGCCTCAGGACCTTTGCACATCCTATTCCTCCTGGGATGCTGTCCGCAGTCCACGTGCAAATCAATGGGTAAACAGAGGGATCCGTGCAGGACAGGGCAAGGGCTGCAGGAAGGCTACTCACCAGAAGACCACTCTGCCCACAAGGCCCCTGGGCAAGTTGACTGGCAACATCTCCTTCTCAACCATGAAGTAGGGATACTGCACATCAAGAGGCAGCTCCACAAACACTGGGCCTGAAGGGACAGGGAGGATGCCGAGCCTATGGCACCTTCCCCAGCATCTGGGCCCCAGTGCCTGATCAGTGCCCAGCACCTGCCCCTCGTACCTGGGGTGCCTGACTGCGCGGCAGCCATTGCAGCTCTCAGGGTGGGGACAATGTCCCGCACCCTCCGCACAGATGCACAGAACTTGCAGAGCGGCCGGAATAAGGACATGTGATCCATGGCCTGGAGCGCACCCCGTTTCTGGCAGAGATGGGGTAGGGCAGTTATCATGTGAGCCCTTGGAGTCTCCCTGGGGCCCGCGGTACCCACCCCCACAAGAACTACACACCTGCAGCAGGGTGCTGGCAGCCCCTCCCAGGAGCAGAAGCGGGGACTGCGCCACCTGAGCATTCTTCACTGCAGTCACCGTGTTGGTGAGGCCAGGTCCTGCAGTCACTGCCGCCACACCCACCGTTCCTGAAACAGGGACACATCACGGCCATTCCCACAGTCCTGGCCATCCTCCTAAGCCCAGAAAACACCTGCTTCTCACAGAGTCCCTATGCCACTGTCCCACCAGCAGTCAAAGCGCTCCATATCCCCTCACCTGTCAGGCGGGCCACAGCATCTGCAGCAAAAACAGCTGTGACCTCGTGCCGTGTGTCCACCACACGGATACCCAGTTTCTCACAGGCCACCAACAGTGGGGAAATGTGCCCACCGACCAGTGTGAAGACAAACCGCACACCATGGGCCTTAAGCACAGCAGCCACATTCTCCCCACCATGCCGGACGCTTGCCTTGTCCACCTGCACCAGAGAAGGAGGGGGAAGGAGACAAGATAATCAAGGGCCAGCACAGGAGCAGGGTCAGAGGTCAGAGGAGCTGGGGGAATGTCTTAAGTGGTACAGTGCCTGCCTAGCAAGCACACGGCCCTGAGTTCAAACCACAGTGCCACCAACGAATAAATACATATATAAATAAATAAAGCTAGGCACAGTGGCTCATGCCTGTAATCCCAGCTACTCAGGAGGCAGAGATCAAGAGGAGGGGAATTAGAGGTCAACCTGAGCAAAAACTTAGCAAGAGTCCCACCTTTTCTTTTCCTTTATATATACATTTATTTGGTACAGAAAATTAAAATAACATCAAAAATTCCTTTTATGGCAACCCAAATATCTGAAAATGAGAAAATACAGTTATCTAACTTAATTGTTACACTCCAACCAAACTACCCCATGTTGTCCTCACATCCCTTCAGGTTATATTTCATTGCACAGACTTTAAGTTTCTAAAACAAAGACTTGAGATGTATTGGTGCTTCTTTGGGTCAAATCAAAACACAGAGCTAAAGTATATTCAGGTCACTCATATACAAACTACACAGAGTCCCATCCTAACCAATGTCAGGCATGATGGCACACGCCTGTGATCCCAGCTACTCAGGAGGCATAGGTAGGAGGATCACAACCCAAGGATGGTCCCAGGGAAAAATGCAAGACCCTACCTGAAAAATAACTCAAGCAAAAAAGGACTGGGGGCATGGATCAAGTGGTACAGCATCTGCCTAACAAACACACACAAGGCCTTGAATTTAAACCCCAGTACCATGAAAGAAAAAAAAAGGTCAGGAGAAAGTGGGTGTTGGTTTGAGATAAGATGCTATGCACTAGGCTCAAGAGGGCATATCATCTTATTGACTCCTCTTGCATACTATCTTTCATACAGTTAAGGACACCAAACAAGATTCAAAGTCCAACAGAACCCCATTCTCAAGCACTCCATTGTGTTACACTGCCTGCCCCAGGGATGGTGGGGCAATCAGAAAGAGAGGAGAGGGAAGATGAATCTACAGAAATGCAGGGAGTTTGGCCTGGGGCAGGAGGACACTGACTGAGACTCCTTCCTACTGTCTGGTATCCCTGCAGGGCCTGGCACTTGCCTCCCTCCTACTCTTCTGAGCAGGCCAGAGCCCAGCTAACAGGCTGCATGCTACATGCTTGGCACAGAAGCAGCTGCAGGCACACAATAGCCTGAGTGTCCAGTACCAGCACCCTCATGGCCTTAAATCTCTACAACTTTCAAGGTCAGTGGTGTGGATCCTGGAAGGACTGGACAGGGGCTTGGGGAAGGGGTAAGTTTCTGACAGAGAGGCCAGAGGTTCAGAGCAAGACTGTGGGCTCTTCTTGCCCTAGGTCATGTAGGGAAAACTAATAAATGACCTCTCTGGACCTCAGTTTCCTTTTATTGAAAAGAGGACAGAAACTACAGAACCTACTTCCAAGGAGGTGGTTACGGATATGTAACAAAAATCTCTAAAGCCGGAAGTTCAGCAGGGGGCAACTGTCACAACCACCTCATCTTCTATCTGCCTTCAAAACACTGATCCCATTGGGTCTAGAAAGCACAGTCTAAATGGGTTCCTTCTGCTCTGCAAAAAGGGCTCAGGTCCCTGGGCGGGGAGCTAGGCAGAGTGCGTGTCCTGGCAGCGGCAGCTTTCCAATTATGTCTTCCTAAGGGCAAAGCGCAGGCCCATGTAGTGTGGCGATTGGCACAAAACTCTGCAAGAAATTTTCCCACCAGCCCCTCGAAACTAGTCGGGACTCGCTTTCCCACCAGTAAAATGAGTAAACTGGAAGGAGCGCCATAAGGTCCCTCCTTCTTTGCCTGCCCGCCTCCGTCTGTCCCAGACACCTTGTGCATCAGCTGATAGAAGAGTCCCAGTCTGTGAGCGGCGCCCAGCAGGGCAGCCACCAGCGTCCCGCACGCCAGAAGCAGGAACGAGGGGAAGAAGCCCTCGGCAGGGGCGGCAGCGGGAGTCTCCATGAGGCAGCACCTAAGGGAGAAAGCGCAGGGCCAAGACCTGGCTACGATAATCTCACCCGGAAGAAGGCACTGCCTCTCTACCAGCCCGGATCTTGGACACGCCCCCCGCCCCAAGTTTCTGAGGCCACGCCCCCAACTCTACCAAGCCACGCCCCGTGCGCACCGAGTCTCCACGTGAAGCCACGCCTCTCGCGATACCAGCCCCACCCCCTTACGTCACCACCACCTCCCAAACTAGGCGACCACAGGTCAATGCAGTCACCAATGGTGTCGAAACAGTTAGTTTTCGACTGTACTTACCTGTTAATGTATTCGTGGGAAGCCCCGCCTCTCTTTTAAAACAGGATTCCGAATCTCAGCCCCAGTGATGATCCCGCCCCACTGCTGTCACCAAGAAGCTCGAGGCCACGCCCCCCAGCTTAGCACGCGCGACCCTAGTTCCAAGCCACGCCTCTCAAATGCAGAGCCCGGGATTCCTACCCTGACTCATGATTCCCGGCTGCGGGCCAAGGTCAAATCGCATCAGGATGTTTCTCCGACACTGACTCGGCCTTTAAGGCCATTCAACCTTCACCCACAGGAAACAGCCCTGACTCCAACGGAATTCGGCGCCCTCTGTGTCATGTGACCCGGACGCGCAGCTAGCCCCTTTTTGCCCACTTGGCATAGCGGCGCCCGGTAATCGCTACACTCATGCGCGGAGCCGGAGCCACGTTCTGGGGCTCCCCGTCAGAGCCCTGTCTCTATTGGTCACTTCGGTTGCAGGGCCCGCCTCTCCTCGTCTTTCATTGGCTCAGACTGCAGACTTCACACTGCGCCCTCCCCCTCCCTTTTTCTTAGCCAGGAGGCCATGCCCTTTAGCGTCTTCCAGTGGCTAGGACCCTCGCAGGCGGACCTTCCATAGCCTTCCCTTGCTTCCACATTGCAGACAGGTAGGTACTGAGCTGTTCATGCGCATCTCTCTTTCCACATCCGCCCGGCGGTATCTCGCTTAACACTATAGCGGGGCGTGAGCTGTCACTAGCCAGCAACCTGGCTCCCCATCATCCGGGTCTTCGTCTCAGGCAAGCCCCGCCCTCACCCAAGCACCAGGTCTCGGCCCCTCATCGTGGCCCGCCCACCATGATGGCTCCGTCCCTCTGCTCCCCGCACTTCTGAAACTTGGAGTTTCTTGGTTTAGTGTAACGGGGAGCAGACGCCCGGAAGCATCTTGGTCCTTGATGCCCTCCCATGTTCCGTCACATTCCTGCCGTCCAGCTTCTGGAAAATGATCTCCCTGTCAGTACAGAAGTCATTCTTGCGCTAAATCCAAGTTCCCTGTCAACTTTTGTTACCTCTTACTGGCTCATTGCTACGATTTAATATATCACCCACGTTTTTTAAACTTACTTCCAAGGGTTGGGAGTATAGTTCAGTGATAAAGCGCATGCCCAGCATGGGCAAAGTCCTGGGTTCCATCCCAATCCTGCCTCCCCCCCCACCCAACTTAGTGGGAACGCCTTCGGTTTCTCAGTTTTTTGTTTTTTGTTGTTTTGGTGGGGCTGGGGTTTGAGCTTTGGGCTTCCTGCTTGCGAAGCAGGTGCTCTACCTCTTGAGCCACACCTCCAGTCCATTTTGGCTCTGGTTATTTTGGAGGTGGGTCTTGCGAACGATTTGCCCAAGGTGGCCTCCAACTGGTGGTCCTCCCCATCTCAGCCTAGGATTACAAGCCTGAGTCACTGGCACCCTTCAGTTTCCTCTTGAATGCAATCTAATCAGTCTCTTCTCTGCCACTCCATAAGAGCTGTTCTAGATTATTCCAACAGTGTCCAAATTTGTCCCTCTCCCTTCTGTGTGTCACTCAACCCCACTTTCCCCAGGGGCACTGCAAGGGAGTCACCCCAACCTGGCACTATTTAGTGAGGACCCATAATTAACAAGCTAAACCACAAACTTCCTAGAGGGACCTCTAGGCTCAATTAAACTCCCAGTGCCAATAATGAGACAGTGCATCTTACTTTTTGCCAGGCACTTATTATGTGCAATGGACTGTTGCATACACTTTTCACATATTAACTCATTTAATCCCCCCAGCAGACCTGGAAGGTAAACTGAGTATCGCTGAAACTGAAGTTTTGGATCCTGGCGTTTACATGCCAGGTCCGGCCACTCACCCCTGTACACCAAATAAAGAGGCAAGGTGAAGGCAGAGAATGCACGGCTCGGGACGTGCTGTGGGAAGAGCAGAGTAAGCGCTCAGCTTACTTCGGGGTACAGACATGAGTTAATAAGTTTAAGTAGACAAAAGAATTGGGGGCAGGGGACAAAAGGTATGCGTAATTAAAAAGTCCCAGTCACAGGTTTGTTCTTGTTACCATGTCAGTCCAAGGGTTCCCAGAAAGATTCCACTGAAGATGTTATCACTGTCACCACATGAGGGGAGCAATCTGGTTCCATGAGATGATTGCCCCTGCTCCAGGGTGCAACCTCATCATTATAGGTAATTGTCCTCATTTGGAGGGGTGGTCTGTCCTGCAAGGCTCTGCTGTTTCTTAGGGGATAATTTCAGTCCCTTGCCACAAAGATGTTATCTAGCATTCCTGTCCTTCCTTGATTCCAAGGTGGCAGCAGCAGAGAATGCCTCAGAGCAAAGGACAACAAGTACAAAATGGAGACAGGGATGCCAAGATTTTCTCCTGTTTTTAGTTAATTCATGTGCCCGAGTAAGGAGTCAGTTCTTTTCAGCAAAGCAGTTTAAGCACCTCCTGCATCCCCATTTCATAGATGGGGAAACTGGAGCACAGAGAGATTAAGGAAAATTACCCAAGGTCACATAGCTTATAAATGGTAAAGGCAGAATAGGGACTCAGGCAAAGCTGCCAGAGCTGCATGGAACCCCAGGCTGGGAGCACTTCAAAGGATGAATGCTGCAATAGACCCTTGGCATCTGAGGGTCTATGGTTCCAAGAAGACAGTCATTGAGAAAAACCTCACATGCTTAGGATGCATAGACACAGTGCTGTACTGTGGATGCTTGACTCATTTTTCCCATAATGCCATCCAGCTTCCACTTAGACATGCTACCTTTCAACAAATCTGTAATTTTCACTTTTTCATTTAAATTAAGTACATTCACTTTCACTTAGCTTTTGGGACACTACTTGCTTTTTGGGAGGCAGATTTTCACAAAATGAAGGGCAGGGAAACACTCAGCACATCCCACAACAATTTAAATACAACTGAAGATGATTTGGGACTGACAGAGCTTCTCCATATCCACTAAGCTCCAGAATGCATGCACAGAAGTTTAAATTCTTTTTTGAAATTTCCTTTGATTTTTTTTTTTTTTGTGGGACTGGGGTTTGAACTCAGGTCTTTGCACTTGCAAAGCAGATGCTGTACCACTTGAGCCACTCCTCCAGTCCATTTTACTCTGGTTATTTTCAAGATGGGGTATCTAGATCTGTTTGCCCAGGATGGTCAAACCTCAATCTGCAAATAAGGTGGACTTCCTATACTGTGTTTTCAGCATGTCTGACTTCCCCATGCCTATCATAGGGGGTAGTATTTGGGGCCAACTCAGATCCCCTTGAAGTTGCCTCCCATATTCAGCTCCTGCAGCTTTTTGAGGGGTTCTCTGGCCACCAAAGGCCATTTTACACAGCAGTACAGCAGGGCAGAAATGTCAAAGAATTAATGCCTCCACTGTGCAGAGCAGCTCTGAATCCAAGGGCCTGTGTGAGGCAGGACAGATAAGGGAAAATGATGCATGGGAAAAAGCAGCCAAGAATTCACAGATAAGCATTGTAGTAACAAACAACTTGATTAAAAGCATCCAGAAGCCAGGCACTGGTGGCTCACACTCAGCTACCTGGGAGGCTGAGACTGAAAGTATCATGGTTTGAGGCCCACTCGGGCAAGAACTATTCAGCTGCAGGAGCTGAATATGGGAGGCAACTTCAAGGGGATCTGAGTTGGCCCCAAATACTACCCCCTATGATAGGCATGGGGAAGTCAGACATGCTGAAAACACAGTATAGGAAGTCCACCTTATTTGCAGATTGAGGGAGGGAAGGAGGGAGGGAGGAAGGAAGGAAGGAAGGAAGGGCAAATCTTTCCTTCTGACCTTGCCCACTTGCCCAAATAATTAGTGTGCTCTGGGAACTGAGCAAGGTTATCTTAAAGAAACACACTTATCCTAGAGGGATGGGGAAAAAAGACTTTGGAAAATGACTTCTCTGGATACAAAAAGTGTTTACAAAGAAAAATAATGTATTGCAAGGATAGACACGTGCCTTGAAGGCAGCATCTGGCAGGACCCATCCTTTGTTTAAAGGGATGCTCAAAGATCTATGTCATAGTGACCCAAATTTAATAAGCAGACCAACCTTGAAATCTCTGGGTCTAACTGGTAAAATAGTGAAACAGGAAAAATGATTAAATAAATACATACCTGGTAGGGGAGATAACATGATCTGGAAAGTGATTTTCCCACGGTGAGGCTTATCCATTGCACTCCAGATGTGCTGACCCCTGAGATTTCCCCAAATGTGAGAAACTCAACTGCATAATTTGTGGTGGGAGGGGGGATTGCATTCGCACTCCCTCCTGAGTAAGAGATTATATGTATATATTAAATATGCCAGGTGTCACATCAAAGGGAACCACTTTTCCTAAGGTGAGTTGGAGCCAAATCCCAACTCCTTTTTCACCATAAATACCTGTGATGCTTGAATACTCATTGCACCTGTTATCAGATGTGCCCACATCCGTGTCTGGGTTGTATGCTATCTTTCTATCTTTGCTTTGCTTTATTAATAAACATTCTTGGTCTCTACCTTGATGGGTCCCAAAATTCTTTTTTGCCATAACATCACGATCTTTGTGCCCAAGGGACAGGCAGATCTTCTCTGTTTTGGAGATCTTCTCCTTGGAGCGTCAAAGGTTCCCGTAACAGGTGGACCTTGTTGACCAAATGCTCCAGTGCTCTGGGCTTTTCAGTGAATGTTTTTACATCACTGCCAGAATTTCCCAGTGCAGTTGAGCTGGAGTTGCCCACGGTGGTAACTTATTGGATACCACACCCTTTACTGGCCACCTACACCTCCCCAACCTTTTCTCCTCCCTACCAGAGTCTCTAGCCTGAACATGCCCAGTGTCATCCCATCTTGGAAGCTAAGCAGGGTCAGGCTTGGTTAGTACTTAAATCAGAGACTGCCTGGGAATGCTAGGTGCTGTGGGCTTAAAGCATAAGAATTTGTTTTGTTTTGTTGGTGGCACTGGGGTTTGAACTCATGGCTTTATCCTGGCAAAGCAGGTGCTCTGTCACTTGAGTCACACCTCCAGTCCATTTTGCTCTGGTTATTTTGGAGATGGAGTCTTAAGAACTGTTTGCTTTGGCTGACCTCAAACTTCAATCCTCCTGATCTCAGCCTCTCAAGTAGCTAGGAGTACAGACAGGAACCACTGCATGTGGCAATACATAAATTTTTTAATTAAAAAAAAGAGTTTCTTTGGATCATCTATCAAACATTTCAAACAAGCTTCTTGTTCAGTCTACTTCCAGGAGAGAGCCTGGTGCAAAGGCGTGTCATGAAGGCCTGTTTATGAATGAGTATAGCAACAAGGGTCACCCAGAATGT